CTCCACAGACAAATTAAAACCAAAAAAGCTCACACTGTACAGACTGCACGTCTATGTATGTGTACCTAAATATGGCTAAGTGGAATCGAGTCTTTAGAATTCAACAGCCTTGGCTTCACATCCAAGATTTTCTGCTTACTTGCATTTTATTCTTCTTTTAATTTGGGGCACGTTTTCTTAAACTCTCTGAACTTTAAGTTCCTTATTTGTTTAAGAAAGTGATATCAACAATAGTATTTACTTCATTAACTTTTGGGGGGCGAGAATCAAATGAGACGTACCCATGCAGTTTGCACCTCATCGTGGTACGTAATCAACAAGTATATATTAACTTATCAACTACTCTTATTATTTCCTTATTCAATAAGCTGCTTTCTCTTTTTAAGCTGCTTGTCATTTGGACTATTTTGTATAACTTTCCTTTCACGGGAAGGGGGTAAAGGTAAAGGAGATAGAATTGAAGGAAAATTTTGTTTAATTTGCTAAGAGTACTTATGAGTGTTAAAGAAGGCAGATAACATAAGGAAGTAATGCTATTAATCTCTAAGGATTATTTTATTTATTCTGCAAAAGCAGAAATGGCTAACAATGAATGTATTTCTTACAGCATTTGGATTTGCTATAATATTTCATGATTCATTATTTTAGCAGAAAAGGAATTGATTATGTACTAAGTGTAAGTCGTTGTGCCCTTAGATAGTCCATCTCAATCAATACAACTAATAGGTGGTTATTTCTGTACCCATTTTAAAGATTGGGAAAGTAAAGTTCAGAGAAAAATACCTACTGAAGGTCACATAGCTAGTCCGTGGCAGAACCAATACTACATTTGATCTATAATTCAATCCAATGTTTTCTGTTTTCTCACATGGCCTCCAGTTTTGCTTAGTAAATGATATTGCATATTCATGGAAAACAATGCTCTGTATGGTGAACAAAGTAACCTTTATAATCATCAACCAAACACATTTGTGTATATAATAGAGCCAGCACAGTAGTTAAAAATGTACCTTGTTTTGCCCTGGCTGTGTGGCTCAGTTGGAATGTCAGCCCATACATCAGAAAGTGGAGGGTTCTATTCCTGGTCAGGGCACATATCCAGGTTGTGTGTTGAAACTCCAGTCAGGGCACCTACTGGGGGTAGCCAATTGATGATGTTTCTCACGTCAATGTTTCTCTTTCTCTTTCTCCCCTCTCTCTTCCTCTCTCTAAAATCAATTTAAACATCTTTTAAAAGTTTGCCATGTTTTAACAAAAGAAAAGAAAAGGAAAAAAGCCTCAGAAAAGTATATCCGCACCTAACAACCTGAATCAGGCATTTACTCTTTCCACAACACGATGAGTACCTGATATGAGCCGCTCTGCTAGGCAACTGGAATTATGAAAAAAATTTTTTGTCCAAATTCTATCACTGGCAGCTGTTTCTAATATCTGAATTGCATTTGCTTTTGATTCCATGTTCCTGTAAACAGAATTTGTATCTCTGACGTGCTAAACAAGCCACACTAACGCACTGTGGCTGTGCCAGCTAAATCTCTTTGGGTGTTATTCTTGGCAATAAACACAGGGAGTTGGCAGAGGAAGGACCTTATCTGAATTTCCTCATCTGTGAAATGGGATTTTTTTTAAAAAAACTATGCCTACCTCCCAGAAGAAAAGTTCTCCCAATTAATTAATCTTGGAACTGTTTTCTATTGAATGCCACTCTGGTTGATCTTATTAGCAGGGTGATTTGATTTTATAAAGCAATGATGGAAACTTTAAAATGGCTACACATTGAAATGTCAAAATTTGACACACACACTACAGTAAATCCTTTCCTTCATGCTGAATCATTTATGTGTGACATTTGTACAGACACAGAACAATAAGCAATCAAATCGCTTTTGAATTTAAAAGTCTATTAAAATTGTTTAAGAATAAAAAAGATTCAAGTTTCAAAAGGAGAGAAAAAGGCAGCCCACTATCTTCTAAGTATTATTAAGGTATAGAGTATGGCACATTACCAAAAAAAAAAATACATGTATTAAAGTTTTAAAAATACTTTCCTGGGCAGGGGTTAAGAATATTGTTTTAATGTTATAATTTGTTGCAAAACAATGAAAGAATAACATAAACCCTATTTTGTAGTGCTTTTGTACATAAAATTAATATCATACAATATTAAAAACATGCTAATAACCTCTCTTTCATTTTTCATGAATGTTTTCTAATGCCTTTATTATCTCTGCATTTCAGTGCCCATTTTGGACCACCTGGAGGCAGAAAGCGCAAGCCATGCACCCTATCTAACCAGCAGAATTCCATGTCAGAGCCAGTCCTCCGCTTAACAGAACACATCAGAGGCCTCTGAGCAGGCCTGGCCGAATAGAGCAGCTTTCTAAACTGCCAGAGATCCAAACTAAAGCAATCACAGAGGTTTTTGCTGGTCATCACAAATGGAAATCCCTAATGTGTTGACTATTTCAGAAGCATTAAATTGAGGTTTACATAGAACCATAAATAACGATGTGTGACTGCTGAGGTTTGTTCTGTAATCCCTGGGTTTTCTGGATGACATGAGAAATCACTTTATATGAAACACTTTTACCCTTCCTCCCTCCTCTTCATCTCAGATTCAGCAGTTAGTGTAAATCTGAACGGCCATCCATATGTCCTGAACAACACATGCCAGGACAGGAGCAAGGAATTCGTAACACAGCCCGTTTCTCTGCAACGCTCTGCTTGGAAATGAAGGAATCTGTGTGCTTTCACAGGCAGTCCTCTAGAAAGGCCTCGAGAAAGGGACTCCCAGGAAACGGCAGAAATCTCGGCATCAGGGGGTCCCTCACAAAAGACAGCCCCTATTAAATTGTAATTCTTTGAGGTTTTACTCAAAACCCTCAACTACCCTTTAGGACCACATTCTAAGCCAGTTGTGAGATACACTTGAATGGAAAGACTGCTGGCTTCAGAGATTTTATGTCAAGTTGAAAAAGAGGCAAAAGTTCTAAGCACCCACAGTGCCTTTGTTCAGGAGATGAAATTCTGCTCTTGAAAGAGCAACAGCGTATGTGCAGACAAGGCCAACACCAGGCCCCACGTCCTACTGTGCTGGGTCCTCCCAGGCCTGCAGCCAGCCACACTATGCCTTTGGGTGAGGTGGGGGGGGGGGGGGCTTCTGCAAAGGTGAAGGAGGCTTTCTTTTTCAAGTGAACGCTGAGGATGGGTTTGTTCTTGCTCTTTTGTGCCCTTTTGTATTGTCGCCCTAGAGAGCAAAGGCGTTCTTTGAAGGGCAACTGTCCATTTTGAGTGACTCTCTGTGCACCCAGAACACAGAAAAGGCACCCTGGCTGCCGCCCTTCATGCCCACATTCTAATCCACAGCCCTCAAAGCACCAAGGCAACAGCTACACCTGCAGCGGCAAGTGCTGAATTCCTGCACCCAGATCGCGAAGGAGAGCTACCGCTGCCTCTGTAAGTGCCTGGATCACTGCCTCAATGCCGGATGTGCTTTCAGCGGGCAGCTCTCTAGTCTAGGCTCTGCCTGTGCTTAGAGGAGGACAGCGCCACTGCCACTGCCACTGCCACTGCTCAATTTCCTGAAGAATCCCTGCGCTCTCGGCCGGTGCAGGGGTCCAGCTGATGTTCCAAGAGTCTCCTGTCAACAATGAGAAAAGGACTGTCCTGGCTTCCGATGGCTGAGGAAAACCAGCTGCTGGCTACTGGGCTTGCCCCAACTCTCCAGTGAGGTCAGTTCTCGAGAGAAGCTCAGGAAAGGAGGTAGGTGAGAGGTGTTCCTGAGAGGGCACTGAACCTGCGAAAATCCGCAGCCAGGTGCCTTCCACAAGAACAGTCTTTCCCTGAGGCAACAGTCCTTTTCCAGCCCGACTTGCCAGCTGCAGACCCCCTCCTCCTCCCTGGCTTCTGAGGGTTCATGCTAGGGAGTGGGCCAGAGATACTACTGAGATCAGTGACTCGCCCAGGACTTGTCTAAGACTTGCCTAAGCCTCAGTTGTCTGCTGGCGCTGGAGCAAGAGCCAAGCACAGGACCCATTCCCCCATGCTCCCCACCAATGCCTTTCTGCTACATGATCAGATTCCCTCCATGGCTACTGCATGCTCCCAGACACTGGAGGCGGCAGGAGCAGAAGAGACACACGCAGGCCCAGGGAGGCACTCACTACCTTTGTGAGCCTACTTCCTCTGGTCGCCTGTCTGCCTTTGCCTTAGGATCCTTCCTTACGGAGAGGATTTAAAGATCAGAAGAGAGACAGTAACAGTGGATACTGCTAATATAGCAAAGTGTAAATACCATTCTTGTTAGAGAGAAATGCCAAGGAGCAGGTGAAATGGCTAAAAGCAGAACAGTCTAAATTTAAACCTCTTTCTCCCCATTGGCTGGGTCATAATCATAAAATAATGGCTATCATTTTTATTCACACCAAAGCAATGGCTACACAAATCTCAGAACCAAAGGGTGCTTAAATGCCATCTGGTTCAAGCCTCTATTTTACTAGTACCTTCAAAATTTTAGAACTGGAAGGCACTTAGAAATCGCCTAGTCCTACTTTCTCATTTTACAGTTGAGGAAATTGAGGTTGGAAGAGATTCAAATCTCTTTCCAAAGTCACACTACTCAGTATCCAGCCTAATAAAAGAACTCCATCCCCTAATATCCAAGTCAGTGTGGCTGCCTAGGAAAACAGTGAAATGTAGCCAAAGACAAAGACAGCAACATAAAGAACAGTCTTCCTTTAGATGACACACATCGAGATCTCAAAAAAAGAACCATGAGGCCTAATTATAAGAAAATCACTCCCCACCTCCTTTATTTTTCTTTTTTCTGGACAGAGGAAATAGAGATGTGATAGTAACAATTCCCTCAAACTCCCAGCCCCTGTTAACAGTTCTTCCTGTGCCCATAGTCAAGTAAAAAGGAAAAACACATTTTGCAGCATCTAAAAATCAGCGAGGATACAGTCAATGGTTTCTATGAGACAAAATCTATACAAACTAACCTTGAAAACAGCATACATTATAAAAAGCATCCTGGTGTTGCCTCAATTTGTTTCATAAATGTTCTGACTACACAGGTGACTTACACCCAAAAGCAGTCCCTTGCAGCTGTTGGATTCATGTACTAGAAAAAAAAGATAAAAGATCACTCCTAAGATTGATTTGCAGCCAAATGCCTTACCCTAATTTACAAAAGGGAACATTAAGGTAATCAAGAAAAGGAAAACAAAAATCTCCCAAACTTGCATAATGGATAAAAATGTCACTGCACGTTGCCTGGGAAAGGCAAAAAGGATACCGTGCAGAAATGAATGCATGGCCTCAATCAGAAGAGCAAGTGCAAGAACACCGGGGATAGGATGCTAAGTCTCCAGTCCAAAACAAAATAAACCCTCAGCATCACACCAGGGGAACTCAGAAAGCAAGAGTGTGGAAATATGGAAGTGAATCAGAGATGGCGGTAATATTTCCATTTTCTATTTCTATTTTCAATTCTAATTCTCTCACTCATTTTTACTTTTAAAGAATTTAACATCCTTGATGCCACATATAGCCTTTGTTTTCATACATTCCTAGTTTGCTGTGTGGTCTATAAACAGACCTCAGCCTGGAAGGGGCAGCACTGAATCCACAGATTCAGATTTGTCTGTCTGTTTTGCTGGTGAAGCACCATTTACCTGCAATAGTCAGTTTTTCTCTGGTTGTTAAGTTAACCAGCAGGCAATTCTCTTCTCAGGAACAACAAATCCAGACTGTAACTACAGTAAGCCACTGTGCTGGGATAAAGATTATATATATATAT